AAGTATCCAGAAGTTTCTAGAAGTTTCCAGAAGCATGCAGAAGCTTCCAGAATTTTTCCAGAAGAAGCATCTGGAAGCATCCAGAAGTATCCAGAAACATTTAGAAGCATCCAGACGCATCCAGAAGCTTCCAGAAGCATCGAAAAAAAGATTCACGCAGATTTATTTTATTATATAAGAGACATGTAAACCGACGTGTAATTCAGTCAGTATATGGAAGTCAATCAGTCAGTATTATCAAGACAGTTTATCGAAGTGAGTTTTATCAAAGTGTTTTATCGAAGAACATCAATACAAGAAGTGAAATACAGCAAGTGTTTTATTACATCAATACAGTCCACATCCAACCAAGACGTTGTGTTCCACAGAGCATTATTGTATCATCACACGGTAAATGTAACACGGTAAGCCTTAAAAAGCGTGATTATCTATTTTTATTATTTTTTGAACTTCAAGTGCAAAAACGGCTCCCGACAGTCTTGGATCGGAACTAAGAAAGAAAACTATTGGCAATTACGTAAGTGAAATGTCACAAAAAAGTATTTGTGATAAATATCGCGTGAAAAAATGGACCGTATCAAGACTATGTTTAAAATATCGTTCTACAGGGAAGTTGGCAGCAGATAACAAAGGTGGAAGACCGCGTTCCAACACTTTTAGAGAGGATTCTATGACCGTCAGATTCTTCAAGGATCCCTGGATATTATCAGTTGAGATACAAAAGCAATTAGAGCTGCCTGTATCGGACCGAACAATGAGACGACGTGCTGTTGAGGCTGGATTGTTTTCTCGATGCCCTGCAAAGAAACCGCTGATTTCTCTAAAGAACCAAAAGAAAAGACTCCTGTTTGCTCATATTGACTGGAATGTTCAGAAATGGCGAACTGTCCTGTTCAGTGATGAATCGAAGTGCAACATCATGGCATTTGCCGTGTACGTCGACCGGCCGGAAAACACCTCGATTTACGTTACTGCCATAAGACCGTGAAGCATGGTGGAGGCAATATAATGGTCTGGGGTGTTTTCTGCTAACGGTCTAGGTCCAATACATTGAATCGATGGAATAATGGACCGTTTCATGTATAAAAATATCCTGAAAGATGTTATGTTACCTCATGCTGAATGAAATATGCCAATAAAATGGGTTTTTCAGCAAGACAACGATCTGAAACAAACTGCAAAAGTAGTCAAGCAGTGGTTTCAAGATAACTACCTATCGGTGATGGATTGGCCGCCTCAATCTCCGAATCTCAACCCTATCGAGAATCTGTGGGAGATAGTCAATCGCAGAATTAATCGTGAAGGTGTTCGTAATAAGGATCAACTGTCTGAACAAGTCCAAAAGGCCTGGTCAGCAATTCCTCAAAGTTGCATTGATCACCTGGTCGAATCTATGCCTCGAAGATGCGAGGCTGGATCGATAACAAAGGATTTGCCACGAAATACTGATAACGAAGTACAGCTTGGTCAACATTTTGTGGAGTTGCACTTGTTTTGTCCAGAAGGAAATCAACTTTTTTTAATACTTTTGATTAATTTATTAATTTTCGTGTACAAATAATGAACTTTGTGATGAATAAAACTTGAAGAACGATAGTCTCTTCAAGTTTTATTCATCTTTTGATTTATATATATATATATATATATATATATATATATATATATATATATATATATATATATATATATATATATATATATATATATATATATATATATATATATATATATATATATATATATATATATATATATATATATATATATATATATATATATATATATATATATATATATATATATATATATATATATATATATATATATATATATATATATATATATATATATATATATATATAAATGTATAAATATATGTATATATATACATGTATATATATACATACATGTGTGTATATTTATGTGTGATCTTCCAAAACTGATAGCAAATGTTTTAATATAAATTTTTATTGCGGATGTCTTTAAGTTTGTTGACTTTTTAAAAATTAAATTCAAAATCAAAGCTTTTTTACTTTGCTTTTGAATTTAATTGTTTATTTTTGATTTTCTAAAATATACTCTATGATTGACAACTTTGTGATATATATTATTTTTTTATTATCATTTTTGGTGACAAAAATGGTTATAATGCAAGTAACATCGATGGTGCCATTGGTGACATATTAAAACGTTACAAAAAATAATGTTTTTGCGAGAAAAATTATATTTATATATTAATATTGTCAAAAATATTATTATTTTTATTTTTTTTTAATGATTTGTGTCAATACTGGGATTTAATTATTTATACAATAACCTCGTTGAATGAACGAAAAAAATTTAGACGTCCAATGGCGTCTATTGTGGATCTCCAAATAGACTGTTTTGGACGTCTTTGGACTTTCGTGTGTCGATTGGGCTGGATGGTTTACCCAATAAGTTTTTCAATTAAGAATTTTCTCAAAAAACACTTAGCCAATTCTAATCATTTTTTTAAATGATGCATACATAAGGAGTTTTTGTACGTGGGTGAAGATCTTTTATTCAATTAGCCTTGAAAAAGGATAATTAAAAAAATTAACACCAGAAAAAAATACCAAAATGGTTACTTGATGGAAAAAAAAAGCCATTAAACGACTAAAACAGTTTGCTTAATTTGTAAAGAAAAAAAATTTGTGTAGCATAAAACTTACTGTAAAAAAGATCAGTCGTTGGTTCCAGGTAATCAATACTATTTTTAGTCAAAAAATTGTAAAGCATCGGACAGATCTAAATATATTCGAGTCAAAAAGTTCGCTTGCAAATTCCTTGTAAAGCGGGCTATTTAAAGTAGTTGTTTTAAAAGCTCTCTTATAAGAAATCAAACATTTGCATCAGATCTATATTTAACTTAATACTTGGAAAAATGTCTTTTCTCTCTAATTAAAATACATAAATAGTCAACTTCATTTTGGTTTGGTTTGGTTTGGCCGAAGGATGCTAATCCACAGAACTGTCCTGAGCATAATCAATGAATCTTATAGGGATATATTGAAAGGAATCCTGAGTAAGCAAGGCAAATTTGAAATTCGCGCTGCAAAACATTGACACAAAATCAAGCTGTGGATTTGATGTGGTACTTTGCAGAATATTTTAATTGCTTGCGTAAATTTATAGTTAAATTTCTTTTTGTTGAAATAAAAACTAAATATGTACACATCATCTTAAAAAAGTTGTTAGAATTGAATTGGTAATATTTGAGAAAAATGAAATTTGATTTCTAGTTTCAACCAACCATTTAATTACTAATTTTTATTGTTGTTATTTTGCATTTTATGATTACCATAATTATATAAAATCTTTACAATTACTATAATTATCTACAATTATACTACAAATAAGCAAGTATATAATTTATTTTTACATTCAGAATTTTTTCTTTCTAGAATGTTAAAATAACACACTGTGAAACGTTTGGAGCATAAACTATACCCGTAAGTTAACTCAAACATAAAAAAATCATGGATGAACCCATAAGCAGTATATTAAAAGTTCAGCGATTGTGTCTATTAATCTTAGCTTGTTTTTTTTTTTTTTTATTTAACCATGTCAATAAAAATTTACAAATTTCATGGTAAATTAATAAAATTGGTTAGGTGTCACTCATATAGTTACAAACTAGTCAATAGAGTGACACAAAAAAAACCTAAAGTTCTCGAAAAAATAAATAAATTAAAGAAAAAATATGTATATATAAATTAAGAGTGAAAAAAAAGAAAAGATTGTTAAACAAATAATAATGATATATGTAATAATTATAGTAACAATGCAAACTACTATGGTGATTGTGTTTAGATAGATAAATGGTTTAGGTAGATAAAAAAAGTAAATACAGTTGCAAAGACAACTATATAAACACAATTACTATGGCAACTATAATGACATTTTTGTCAAAAGTTGCATTTTCATTTTAATTCTACAGCAAGATACCCCAGCATGTTCTTTTATCGGGTAAACATATTGTAAGTGTGTGCGTATACACCTTATTAAATCTTTTAGTGAATTTAATTTTTGAAAAGGGGAAACGACGGTAGTAATAAAGTATTTTTGTCTAATGAAGTAATTTTAATGAATGAATTAAGGATTTCTTTTTTTGTCAAATGAAGCTAAAATTCTTTTATTGATTGCTGTTTATTACTAAAATGTTCTTTTGCTTAAAAAAATATTAAAGTTATATAAACCTTTTGTCACATTTAAATTTTTTTCGTCTTTTTTGAATATTTTTGACATCAGTATAAGATCAATTGTTGAAATGCAAACTTTAATTTTATTTAATATTTTATTCAATATTTAAACATTTAATTTTATTCAATATTTAAACTTTGTTTAATGTCAAATGCGTCAAAGGAATTTGCATTTTATTTTTTAACAAAATTATCAAAATATTCAAAGTTTTATATTTAGTAAACTTTATAAACTGTGTCAAGCAAAAAAAAAAGTATTTATGAACTGTGTTAAGTAAAAAAAACTTTTAAAATACTCATTTTAATCTCATTCGCATGCTATGTTAACCTTATCCCCTATTTGACTTACATTATACTCTCGTCTCTTACATTACTCTCGTTATCTCTCCAATTTGACGTTATACTCTCGTACTCTCTTGGTCAACCATAAGTCACTTTTACAATAATTTTGAGTAATATTTTATGCTACCCCTGATTTTTTAACCAACTTATCCAGAATTTCAACTTTTCAAAAATTGATAAAAACTTTTTAAAAATTAATAAAAGCATTGTTTTGAACACATACTCGAAAAAATCATTAACCATCTATAAAATTATTTTGGCGGACAAAAGGCTTATTAAAGCTTAAGGGTTTACACGGAAAGTATTTACGATGTTAAACCTACCATTTTAAATTTAACACGACATTTATCTCTTTAACGTCATACTTATGTAAGTAATTATTTACATACGTAAATATTTATTTAAGTAATAATTATTAAACACTTGTTTTTACATCGTTTTGTTTATATAAAAAGCAAAGTTGCATTTTTATAAAATTTTTTACAATTAATTCTAGTAACTAAAAACGCTACATTGAATATCAAAAACTGAACGATAATGTCACAGCATCTCAATGAATCTCCACGATGTCTCAGCGAATCTTCTATAAGGTTGTTAAAATCAACATCAGCTATCCTGTCGACTGAAGGCACCAAAGTGACTTCAAGGATGTATGAAATTATGCTCAGTAACTATCCGATTGTTAAAAACCTATTTAATACTTCTCATGTTCGTAAGAACGGGAATAGCAACACAGTCGCTCCTCAAGTAGGTGTTTAATATTTTTGATTTCAAAGATTGTAATTCAATGCACTCATCTTAACATAAAAATACGACACAAACGCGCTAATAAAATACAACAAAAGTACATCTCAGTACAACATCAGTTGCATCTAGATGTCTTGGTGCTCTTATTCATTCGTTTAAATCCTTTATCTTTTTAGAAGATATTATTATTTTTTTCCATCTCTTTATTAAATTTTAGGCCCAAGCATTAGCAAACGCTGTATTTCGGTTTGCCGCCAACGCAGACAATCTTACTGCACTTCAAGACATGTTAAAACTAATAGCTCATAAACATGTCAGTTTTAACATATTACCTGAACATTACCCAATAGTTGGAAACTGTCTTCTTCGAGCTATTAAAGATGTTCTTCAAGATGCAGTAACTGATGAGGTAATGGAAGCTTGGCGGGAAGGCTACGACTATTTGGCAGATTTGTTTATTAAAATGGAAAATGATATAAAAGAACAAAATAAAATGAAAGGTTAGGAACTTCATTTAAGTAGACTCAAACTTTAAATAAAAAATGAGTCTTTTAAATTTGTGTGTTTGCGGCGAGTTTTGCTAATTTATATAAAAATTCTAAATTGCTATAAAATTTTTTTGTTTTGTTTCTGATGATAAAATATAAAATTAAAGTCAAAATCTAAAATTTATATAACAAATAATTGTGAACTATAATAACTTCAAAAACTGGCTTATGCACGATAATTTTGAAATAAAAAATCTTAAGTAAATCAAAACTTAATGATTAGCCTTATCTTGATGGAACATTTAACTTTTACGAGCAATTATGTCAATAGAAGACAATTATTTTCTTTTTTAATATTTAAAAGTGGTTTTACAAAGACAATTTTTCATAAAAGAATCGGTTCAAATTTTTGAAAAATGTTTTTGATTAAACTCTTCATGAAAGGTTTTTTTTTAGCTTTTTTATTATTTTTAGCGCAAACATCTACACCACATAACAAATGAACTTTGTCAGAGGAAATTCTATGATAATTCAAATATATGGCATTTAATCTCTAGAAAAAAGCCTGATATAATAATTTTGTTTTTTAAATTTAAAGATGCCAAAAAAGCTTTAGCTATTGGCATTATTTTAATTTTACTGTAATGATGTAGTATTGCGCAAAACAATTCAATCGTTTTATTCTTTTGCAGACATTTGATTCAAAAATGTTTGTAAAATTTTTTGGTATCTAATTCTTTAATTTTTTTAACATGAATTTCAATGTATTTACAATATCTACAACTCCGAAATGTTGGCAGCGCAACTGTTGCTGCACTGTAAACGTACAAAAGTTAAAACACTAATACTTACATACCCCCCCCCAGACTGATAAGGTCACTACAGTTGAAGAGGCTACTATAATTGTGGTTACAAATCTCTCTCAACTCTATAACTTCGAAACGCTAACCTTGACGAACAAGGCTAATGCGCAGATAAACAAGTTGAGTGCGGTACTATCAGAGACGTGGTGGAGATCGAACTATAAATATAAAATAGTAGATATGGGATCGTCCATAAATTACGTCACGCTATGGGGAAACGGGTTAGTGATTTTGTGACGACTCATACGGGACTTGTTACTAAAGTATTATGATATTGTGACGAGGGGATTGGGGTGGGGGGAGGCTGTTAAAAACAGTCGAAAGTTCCGTGACGTAATTTATGGACGACCCCTATGTAGGTAAATTCCTCGAGCCCAGCTATACATATGCATTATTATAAATAATATATAAATATATATTATTTATAATCATGTATACTACATTAAAATATGATTTAGTTGTTTTGCTAGTAAAACATTTAAAACTTTCATTTGATTTCCTGATGCAAATTAACATTTTGTATTTATAACAAATTTGTTACAATTTGCAGCAGATGTGCAGCAGATATGTAATATCATTTGTTACAATTTGCAGCAGATGTGTAACATCATTTTTTTTTTTTTTGACCAGTACTAGAGATTTACAATATCAGAAAAAAAAGTTTTCAGAAATTTTCAAACATAAAAAAATTCCGTTCTATAAATAATTACACTGTAAACCATTATTTTATTTTTTTATTATTTTATTTATTAATGGCACGACTAATCTTTATTTTATCGTGTGATTAGGAATGATTATAAGACTTATACTTATAACAATCAGAGATAACGGAATAAAAACAAAAACTAAAATCTAATAAATAAAATTAAACTTTTGAAATTTTTTTAACTTTTTTTTCATTTATAATGCTTTAAAAAAAATTAAAAAAAAAACTTTTAAAAGTTTTTCTTATCATTTGAAAATAATTGGATATTAATAAAATTTTAAATTTAACGTTTGCTCGTCTTAAATAAAAGTTTGTTAAGTTTTTTTTCTGAATCTAAACATATTTGAAGATATAGTTATAACGTATTTATTGCTTACTTTTATAAGTTGAAGATTTACTTCAATTAACTTATTATTTAAGAAATAATTAGTTAATTGATCATTTTAATGCCTCATTTATATCGTTAGAATTTTGAAAATAGTAATTGGTGATTAAATAGTCCTTTACATTTTTAAAACGTGTTTTTGATTTTTTGATAAACTTCAGTGCTCTACTGCTTTAAAATCTCATAATTCTTGCTATAAATATATGCACTGAAGAAAAGACGGGGAAAAAAATTTTGCGGGCAACCATGACACTTGACGTCATTTAAATCAAATTACCACAAAATTAGCTAATTATCGTGCGTGTAGTTACACCTTTTAGTAAACATTGATAGCGATTTTTATTTTCAAGATAAACCGTATGACTGTAGCATTGATATTTTTTGAACGTAATACTTTTTTATATTAAAAAGTGCAATACAACTTTAAAAATAATTTCCACCAAAAAAAAGAATGAGATAAAGCAAAGTAGAAACTTTGTGATAAACTAATTAATAAAATCTACACGACTAAAGCGAATAATAAAACAATTCCACAAACGTAAAAACTGTAAGAAAATATAGAAATAAAAGAGAAAAATAAAAGTTGTTAGAAAACCAGAGAAATAAGTCAGAAAAATAAGTGAGAAAAATAAAAAAGAAAAATTGACTACAAACACTACGTTTGGTTTCCTTGGTAACCCAAAAAGATTTTCCACCAAATGTTTTAAAATAATTCTTATACTGGTAAATGTAGTTTTAGCTAAATTTCTATACCATTCCATACATTCTATACAATGTCGGCTTCTCACTGAGCACGGAACCTAAAAAAGACTTTTAAACATTTAAAAGACGTCCAAAACGTTCAAAAGACTTTAATGACGTCCTTTTAACGTCCCGTGTCCACTGGATAGTGTTATTGTATGCGGTTATGAAAACTTAGATGAAGGAATGTAAGATTCTACTCATCACTCAGAAAGCCACTTTTATTGGTGATTGATAGGTTAAATTGGGATAAGTTGTGCAAAAAAGGTTGCAACGTTCTGTAGTAGACGAGCCAAACAAAATGTCACAAGTCACTTTTTGAAGATTTTTTTTTTGTGTGCAAAATCTAAGCAATCAAAAATAAGAAGTAGATTGCAAAATTTTGTTTGCAGAAATGCGGAGGGTTGTTTGGGTAAGAGAGCCTTGCAAGTGGAAGCAAGACGTGTTTAAAACATCTAGTGTCCGCTGACTTAGTTTTATCAAAAGATTGCATTTTAAATACCTTCGTATTTATATTGCATCTCTTGCGTAGAACTGTTGATCGAGAAAAAGGAATTTGTTGTAATTAAACATTGAATGAATGAGTTTGATAATTTAATCTATCCTGATTGCGTAAATCAATTTTAAATAAAGTTTTTCAAAAACCTTGAATAATTGTAATAAGGTATTTACAAGTAATTCACAATAAAGTTGAAATAATCAATTTTATATTGATAATGTAAACATATTAAAATTGATATATATATATATATATATATATATATATATATATATATATATATATATATATATATATATAAGACTGAATATATATATATATATATATATATATATATATATATATATATATATATATATATATATATATATATATATATATATATATATTCAGTCTTAGATAATCTTTCAAATTTAATAACTAAACAAGGTGTTTATGTCAAAAATGTATCAAGCTTTGTTTTATCAAAATACTTTCTAACAGTTTGCTTTACTTGCGATTTACACAAAGATTGGGGATTTAAATTTGCTTCTAAAATTATAGTTAATGTCTTTTTTAACAACAAGCAGAAGATAATCAATGCCACTGTACAAAAAGATCCTGTTGAAAGTTTTAAAAGCAGACAGAGAGAAAAATAATGCTTTAAAAAAAAGGAGAAAAAAACAAAACATAAATAGATAATAACATAAAAAAACACAAAGCTTAACCTTTTTTTTTTGTAAATTCCCAGTGTTGTCAATTTAATTGTGTAATGAATAAATATATAAATATATATATATATATATATATATATATATATATATATACTCTTGCATGTCTCTTGCGTAGCATCAAAAAATATTTCCCATAAACTGTAGTTTTAAAGAGCGCGTTAATAAACCAGACCAGAAAAAGTTTTGAAAATTAAATTTTTTTTTTTAATTGACAGACTGCCTGGCCAAACCAAACCCTCAGTCGATGTAGCAGCACTCTCTTGCGAGTCAGGCTATTTGTCAGTCGTTGTAGCAGCACTCCCTTGCGAGTCAGGCTATTTGTCAGTCGATGTAGCAGCATTCTCTTGCGAGTCAGGCTATTTGTCAGTCGATGTAGCAGCACTCCGTTGCGAGTTAGGCTATTTGTCAGTCGATGTAGCAGCACTCCGTTGCGAGTCAGGCTATTTGTCAGTCGATGTAGCAGCACTCCGTTGCGAATCAGGCTATAAGATAGTCGATGTAGCAACATTTACGCATATTTAAAAAATGTTTTTTATTAAATCAATAACAAAAACACCACTAATTAAAAAAAACTTTCTAGTCGTTATAATTGCGGTTTTTTAAAAATTTTTTAAAAAACAATTAAATTTAATGTACTTCCGCATAAATTAATTGCTTTGACATTTCGATGACAATCAAAAACAGCTTAAGAGACGAGGTAATTAAAATTGTAGTCGTAAGAGACTTTTTTTACATTAAAATGCTCTTAAAGCTACACTATATGGGTATATATATATATATATATATATATATATATATATATATATATATATATATATATATATATATATATATATATATATAATATTTGCATATTTCAGGTAACAAAAGAATATATATATATATATATATATACATATATACATTAGAATATATATATATATATATATATATATATATATATATATATATATATATTCTAATGATTTATAACCGGTAATGTAACATTACCCAATGGGCACCGGACCTAAAAAAGACGTCCAAATGTTCAAAAGACGTCCAAAATGTTCAAAAGACGTCCAAAACGTGTATAAGACGTTTAAAGACGTTTTTTTTACGCCCGTACCCACTAGGTATCGGTTCTTTTATCTTTTTTAAAACATTTGTTACATTTTTTAATCGCACTTTTATTGCATTTTTATTATAAGGTCTCTATTAGTGCAACCTAATTTTAATAATTTGATTTAAGCATTTTAATATATTTTAACTGATGATGGCTATGATATAGTCGAAACATGTATTTATAAAATAAATGATTTTAACAAAAATTAAAAAAGTTGTCTTATTTATTAGAATATTTACATATTTTAAGCTGAAGAGAAACTTTAAGAATATATATATATATATATATATATATATATATATATATATATATATATATATATATATATATATATATATATATATATATATATAAATATATATATATATATATATATATATATATATAATATATATATATATATATATATATATATATATATATATATATATATATATATATATATATATATATATATATATATAAATATATATATATATATATATATATATATATATATATATATATATATATATATATATATATATATGTATATATATATATATATATATATAATTAATTAAAAATATAAAAACGATATATTAATTTAAAAATTTAGGAGGATGGGTTGGCTTTAAACCATTGATTGTGTCTGAAAAAATAAAAGAAACAGAAGATATTACTTCATTTATTTTAAAAGCTCCAAATGGAGAAGATCTACCAGATTTCATTTCTGGGCAGTATATCTCCATCAGGCAAGAATTTTTATTCTTACGAACTAAAATTCAAGTATATATTTTATAAGACAAAAATACTAATAAAAAATTTGTTTTCTTTTCAAAGAATTCCTAATGGAAAAATTGATACAGTTGAACATGACGTTGTTCGTAACTATAGCTTATCAAGTATGTGTTGCCGAAAGTTCTTTAAAATATCAATAAAAAAAGAAATTTCTTCTAAGTTGCTTTCACCTGACGGCATTGCATCAGTCTACTTTCATAATAATGTCAATGTTGGAGATGAAGTTTTGGTAAAATTTAAAACACATTTTTATTGATTTCTAATTTTTTTTTCAAAACTTGTTTATTTAAATATGATTTACAGTTTAATCCACCAGAAATAACAAAAATATATAAAAATATAGAAATATATAATTGTGACTTTACTTTTTTTTAACCATGGCAGTTCTACATTTTACCAACTCTTATTCGGATTTATTATTTCCAATTGACAGAATCAGATTGATAGAAACCCACATTGATTGACAAATTGATTTATACAGATACCAACAATTATTCAGACTGTTTTATATATTTTTCACGTTATTAAATTTATTATATTAGCTAGTTAATATTTCTTGACATGTTAAAGTATAATGATAATTAATGTTTAAATTTTAAAAAAAAAACGAATCATTATATCTTACATGAATGTTACTTGTAATATTCATGTAAGATATAATGATAATATGAAAACTATTTTACTATTTAGCAGTTTACTTTTTACAAACATGAATAAAATTCCATTTGAGTTGATACGTGACATAATGATACCGCATTGTTTCTATGTTGCACTGAATGTTGCACTAAATTCGGTGCAACATTTTCTAAGTTATCAAACTTTTTAATAATTGTTGCAAATTTCTCTTGCATTCTGCAACTCTTTCTACACTACTTTCTTCTGCATTCTACTACTCTCTTGCTCTACAGTTTTGAAACAACCTTGACGAACAAGGCTGTGGTGTAAAGAAATAAGTTGGACTCAATACTACCAGGGATGTGGTAGGAATCAAACCGAGTACTTCTTGTTTGCAAAACAAGTACTTAAACACTACACTACTTCAGAAACTTATTAATGACTTTCCAACATAAACAGCAATCTATTTGCTATTTTTAAAGACCCCAATTAGTTTTGGCTTGCAGACTGGGTTTTTAGTTTTAAACCCCATATCATGCTTTGGCGAGTAGTTAATTTAAACTTTTGGTCCGATGCGCTTTAGTTTCAAACAATATGCAACTTATCTTTGATATCATTATAACGCGTTTTGATATCGTCATAACTTTTTTTTCCTTCAAACTATTGTTTTAGGTGCCCCAAAAAGACCTAACGGTTTTGACACAGTTTTTGACACATAACAAGGAAGTTCTTGCCTCTTTCATTACCGATGGCGCAAAATATGTCCAGAGCTCTCTTTGAACCCTGGGTGTTTTGCTTCTAAAGCAAGAGCTTGACCGATTGCGACACGGCCGCTGCTTGTGAGTCACAAGTTGTGATTTAAAATATTTATTTCTATTGGGTAACAGGGTTCACATTCAAATATCTAAAAATGTTAAATCAAAACTAATTTATTATTTTTAAGTAAAAATATTTGTTTATGGAACTCTATAAAATATAAATTTATATAAATTTATTATTTTGAGATCTTTTTTTTAGGTCGGAAATCCTTGCGGAACATTTTTTTTAAAGAAAGATTTACCTTCTCATATTTTAATTTCTGCAGGAGTTGGATTAACTCCAATGATCAGCATGATAGAAACTTTGCTTTCTACTAACGATAATTGCAATCAAATACTTTTTATTCATTGCGCAAAAAGCGAGGCTCATTTTGCTATGAAGCAACACGTTGAAGAACTATGCAAAAATACCAGGTTGACTTCTCATGTATTCTATTCAAAAGAACAAGAAGTTAGGGAGCTTGAATCAAAAATAATAGTAAGTAATTGAAACTTTTAAATTTAAACTTTTACTTTTGTAATTTTGTTTTAGAATTTCATTAGGTTAAGTCTTATATCTCTTTATTTGTATAGATGAGTTTTTTTGATGATTTATGGTGTATAATTGATCTTAAAATTAACTTACTACAAGTAATATTTACTTGCACCAATTTAAAAAAAAAAAACTTTGCATTGATGTATGTCGAATAAACATTTGCAAAAAAATTAAACCTAATTACCGACCACTGTAATCAGTGGACGATACTTAGGTATACATTAGATAACAATTTTTCTTTATTAATTGATGCTTCCTTATATCTTTGAAAATTATTATTCTTTATATCTGGGAAGTTATAAAACTACGTTAATAAAAATTTTATGAAAACGTCAACTAAGGTAAGTTGTTTGTACTTAATCACTAAGTGCTTCTGGTAAAGTTACTTCAGATCAAGTATTTTTAGACATATTCGATGCTGAGAACTAAAAAAAACATTTGAGAGTGACTTAAAGGAAGCGCTTGAATATCTCTAATTAAAGCTTTAAAGTAGCTCAAATATCAAAAATGTTTAATTACAAACTAAAGTATTTGGAAATAAAAGCTTGACAAAAATTTTACTTTCAGCCTATTCAGAAACCCGTTGGAACCATTTGAAACCATTTGGGGAATATTGAGAAAATATGTATGAAATATATATTACTATATATAATATTTTTTATGAAAAATTCTACTTTATGCTGAAAACGAAACAAAAAAACAAGCAAGCAGAATTTTTGAACATCTGGCTTATCAAAATGTAAGCAGTTATAACTAAATTATAAAGATATTAGTTTGTTTGTGGCGTTTACACATTAAGCAATTTACTTCAAATTGGTTTTGACTTTATTTTTAAAATTGCCATTAATTTAATACTTGGATACCTAAAAATGGTAATGATGTTAATGATATTAATCGTTATGACAAAGTAAAATACGAGCTGAAAGTTCTTGTTTAGCTATTTCATTAAAAAGTGAATCAAATCCAAGTTGGATTAACTGAAATAGACATCAACCAAGAATTGTACTATAATTAATTTGTAATCTAGCCGTTGATTCTATTTATCTAGGTTACTCACAGCGGTTGTAAATATGCATGTTGGCAAAAACTTTAAATATGCGTAAATATGCATGTTGGCAAAGACTTTTTTTTTTTGCGTTAATAAACTTAACAAAAGGGTGAGAAAGAAAAATAGAAGATAGATCCAGAAGAAACAATATCAATTGGTTTTAAAAAAAGAAAATGAAACCTGGGAGGGCTGAAAATAGGGTAAAAAAATAAGTTAAAGAACTATTAGGTTTTTTAACTTATTTATTTACCGTATTTTATTATTTAAAATGACATTGAACAGAGAAATGAAAAGAAAAAAATATATATTTCTGGACATCAAAAAGAAATTAAAATTTTTAAAAGTATCATTCAATTAAATATATTTTTATTAGTGTATTTAAGTAATTTTCATAA